TATAGTAATTGCATTCAGTCCTCTTAAATCTGAACAGATTCTAAATGATCCATCAGTTTTCTTCACAAGTACAACTGGTGAACAATATGGAGAATTAGAAGGTTCAGTGACTCCCATTTCCAGCATTTTATCAATTTCTTTATTAAAAGTATCTACCAGTTGTTGAAGAATTGGATAAGGTTTCTTTGCAATAGGAGTCGTTGTTCTAAATTAATGACATGTTCTGTATTAGAGGTATAGCCAGGTTCATCTGAAAAGACGTCACTGAAATCCGCCATTATATTTTTCAAGTTCATTATCTGACTTTCATTCAGGTTTTCGCACCAGTTAGGATAATTGAGAGTTTTAGCATTAATAGTCTTAACATTATTACAACCATTAGTTTCAAAGTACATAACTTCCTTTTTCGTCAAGATCACGATATTCTTCTGCCACGCAAAGTTGAACCAGATTTTTCTTTTCCACAGTCATTTCTACGATAGTATCTTTTTAACATGTTGATATGAAAGGGTTTAGCCTTAGTTCGGATATTCACTAGATAATCAACTCCGTTTTCTTTACACTCAATCGCAGGATAAGGTCCACGTCACTGCATCATTAACTTTATTATTAGAAGGCAATAGTACTGAAACATCATCATTCATAATTAGTTTGCTATTTTTAGCTTTCATATCATACTACCTCTTATATATATAAGATCTACTACTGATTTCTGCGTTAGATGCAGCTAACCTTGTAGATCTTAGATCAGTTATATATTCATAAACATTCTTCATACCAAAATTAAAGTTTTCAATTGACCTGAGTTCATCAAATACGCTAAGTAGGGTTCTTACAGCTCGACCATGTAGTAGTTCGAATGAAGAAAAAAATAAGGAATCATTAGGGATTTCTCTATATGCAAATTAAATAGCAGGTATATATCTAGGTGTGTCAATTTACAATTTCTTTAACACTGATTGAATCGCACCATTAAGCCTTTCAACAACTGTATAAAGACCTTTAATTGAGACTAGTCGGTTTACTTCTGCCATCAGATCGGATCTAAATTGAGTTCCTCTATCTGAAAGTATTTCTTTAGGTATTCCATCCCTAGAAAATATTTCGACTAAATACTCTGCTACGGTGATTGAATCAATTTACCTTAAGGGAACAGCTTCCGGGAACCTAGTTGTATAATAAATTAGTTAAGAATGTATCTGTAGAATCTGTCAGAACATGGTCAAATAGGTCCAACAATATCAATGTCCACTCTAGAAAAATGTTCAACTACAACAGGAAAAAAATTCATATTCACTCGGCAAACGGTGCCTTTAGCAGATACTTTTTGGCAAACATGACATGACTGTTTAACAGTCGAGGGAGGGTGAGTATATACAATTCAGTTTCAAATGTTAGATAACAATTGTATTAATGAACGCTTATCACCAAAACCATAGTCATACATCACATGGAATTTACATAAACCCTTCACAGATATATATATATACATACATACATACATACATACACACACATACATACACACACATATATATGTGTGTGTGTGTGTGTGTGTGTGTGTGTGTGTGTGTGTGTGTGTGTGTGTGTGTGTGTGTGTGTGTGTTTGTATATCGACGGCCACCTTCGGTCGATGTCAAATATGGCATTGTTGTATTATATACCCACTCCCGTATAGGTAGAGTCAATGCCTAGGCGAAGTAATGTGAGGAGCAAGTGTTACCCGTGTAGCATGCTCCCTCTCTCCACGCAGCTGATGGATCCAAAGGAACGGCAGAGACCGATACGGTTTGGCACCAGCGGAGTTGCCAAATTGGGGTCGCAAGCGACAACGAACTACCTTCAGGATTCTTAGGGTCGACCCCTATGCGTGCATTCATACGTGCACGCATGTGCATGTATACGCGTGTACATGTGTGCCAGTGCATACAAGCATAAATGTATGAATATATGTATAAATCTATACATATATTAAATATGAATTCATATATATGTATCTATATATATTATATAAATATATATGTGTATGTATAATATATACACATATATATATGTATATGTATACATATACATATTCATATATATATATGTATATATATAGATGTGTATATATATATATGTATGTATGTATGTATAGACATATATATGTATATATATAATATGTATACATATGTAATGTATATGTATGTATATATGTATATATATACATATACATATAGGTGTGTAATTATTAATTTATGTATGTATGTATATATAAGCATATATATGTATACAAATATATATACATAATACATGCATATATGTATACATATATACATATATATTTATATTGTCGTGCATGTATCGGCTTATTTTCATTTACCCTCATATTTATACAGCAATATCATATATCGCTAATCATAAAAAAGAAAATAAAGTTGATAATAAAGTTTAACATATAAGATTTTATTTGGTTTGAGATGAAGCAGGACATCTACTTAATTGGAAAGAAGCAAAAATA